CCCACCTTTCTTGCATCCCTGTTTCCTCTTCACCTTTTTAACCACTGCTCTTAAAATGTGGTGTTTCTAATGTTCTTTCATGACCTCATCTTCTCTTACTACTTTGTTCTGCAAGTGTCCTTATTTCGTTTTTCATCCCATGCTCTTCTTTCTTCTCCTCCCCTCTCAAGGCACTGCTTTTCCTCCCTCTTCATTAGCTTTAGTCCTCTTTTATCTCAGGTTCTCATCTACTGTTATTCTCCTTCTTCACCCTGGCGTTGTTCCTGCTAGTGCAGGGTCCGCTCTTCGGCAAAGGTTTCTCCATTTGGTTCTGTCCAGGGCGTCCTCAGTTGATGCAGTGACGGACTTAATGTCTTCCTTGATTTTGTCGGTCCACCGTTTCTTCAGTCTTCCTCGAGACTGTTATTCTCCATTTAGTTGTTTTTGATTTTCTATTTTTCCTTTCCTTCTTTAATCTTTGCCTTACGTAAAGCATCCATTTCAGTTTTATCTTCATTTTCTTTTTTTCTTTTACTGCTTGTAAGTCTCTTTTGGTTCAGCTCCTCCTGCTCTCCTCTTAGTTCTGAACTTCTTGCCTTTTTTAAAATCTTTTCTTGCACCTAAGCCTAATTTTTCCTTGCTTTTGCACTACTCTGTCTTTCTTTCCTCCTTCAGTTCAACAAGTCAACCCCTCTGGGCACGTGCACGAGTGGAATTTGTTGAGTAAAATTCACATCATTTTTCTGTTTATCTTCTTTTCAATATGGTCCAGGTTTCAGATTAGATAGATTAAATACTAACACCTCACCTAAATCTTTCATCTGATTACCTTAGGCTTTCATCTACTTATATATTTTTTTATTTCCGACTGCAACAGTTGGTATGAATTTCCTTCTGGCTGTCATGGATAATAACTGAATATGATGATAAAAATCATAAATGCACTTTTACTTGTGCTGTTATGTATCCTATATTGAATGACCTCTCCCCTAAAGCTGATGCCAACAAATTTCTCTCAGGATCATACCTCTCCATATGTCACATCAGTTAATTCAAGCAAAACCTTTTTCATTTGTAAATATACACCTACATATTTTTTCCCAAATGACATCAGTACTATTCACTCTTTGAGCTCTTTGCATATGGAATAATCAAAATGAGATCTCTGCATGCTGGCGCCAACTAGCTGGTTCATTTTAGTGTCTACAGACATACTACATCCTGAAAAACACCACTTGCATCATTTAATGAATGAGAATCAAACAGTAGCCATCATGCCTTTGAATCCTTTGACTACTTTGAAGACATTAGTTACAGAGGTTTTAGTATTGTGTGTGTTAATATTAATAGGTTTTCTCCGATTAAAATTCTTGGTTCATCCCCAATATATTTCAGTGTGTTAATTACTCCTCATTTAATGAGAAAAACTAAAGCATGATATAGATATGCTAAATTAAATGAGCAAATTAGCATGTCAGCACAATCCACCCCAAAATACTAACAATACTGGTTAGTTTTACATGTGATCTACAGCAGTTTCACTGTTTTTTAAGCACAGGCGCAGACAGTTCATCTTCATGTGCAAAACATAAGATGTGCTTTTTTTTTCTAAATTAAATGTAATCACAATTAGCATCACAATTAGCACTAAACCTGTAAATCAGTTAGCGTGTCTAATTTAGATATTCTTATCTTTATATTTTGCACGTTGAGAAAGGAACTCCCACTGAGAAATTTTGTCACTGTGCTCTTGGTAAATATCCAAAGTAATTTTTTTTATGCCAAAACCCAGTTTGCAGTGCTACAAGTTATTAGTAAACCAGGCCCATAAAATATATATCACCCGTCTGTCACAGGGGGATCACATAGAAGCAAACAACTCACACGCACAGCCTATTTAAATTAACCACTTGCTAATATGAATATATGAGTGTTTTGCCGTACCTGGTGAGAACCCAAGTAGGCACAAGGAGATCATGCAAACTCCACACAAAAAAGACCCTAGCCAGCCACTGAACTTGAGCCCAGGACCTCTTTCTACAGTTCCCATAGTTAGTAATTGTCCTCTTGATGTAGTTTCTCTTTTTTCCGTCCTTGAATGTATTATAGACCTCTCAACAGCACCACTTTGTGTTACTATGCTCTTTGAACATCATCAGCTGTGACAAGGTTACAACACAGAGGGAGTTATCTTCAAGCCCATCGAACCAATAGCTCTCATTATTTCCAGTCTTTGTTGTGCATTTTAGATAGTACTTATGGTCCCAGACAGGCTCTCAAAATCTCCCGTCTGGCTTAAAGAACCGAAGGATGTTTTTGGAAGTTAAAATAATTTTACATTTCAAAAACAGAGCATTGGGCTTCACATGGAGTTCCAGTTGTTGCATAGCAACAAGTTCCAAGGCTAGTGCTTGCTCAGAGCACCATTTAAAGCAACAAGCAAGAAAAGAAAAGTAAATAAATGTTCAGTACACAGAAGGACTTACTGCCATAGTTTCTGATGGAGAAGTTGGAATTCTCACTCGCCAGGCTGAAAGTGAAGGCAACTGGCTGATCGTCTTTATCTGTGGCAGTCAAGGTTCCAATTATCTGAGGAAAGACCAAAAAATGACTCTAAAATTAATCTTTCTGCACATTGACTGCACATTTCTGCAGTCAATGTGTGCAGCCCATATATGTAAATTATATATGCACTGATTTATGCGCACATGTATGGCATGCATGTGAATCATTGAGTCATCGACTGCCATGTACATGGCACGTGACAAAAACACTATTTTAGGTTGGGATCCAAATTTCAGATTATGTATATTAAAGTCACAATTAGAAAAAAAATCAAATAAGAACTTAACTGTAAATAATGGAGAAACCTATTGTAGCTTCCCAGGCTCCGTTATTGAGGAGACAGACAGTTAAATATGCGTTTAGGCTTTTATGTAAAACGCATTCATTATCCCAGCTCATCACATGCTTGGCTTCACGTGAGTTTTAATTCAGAAGACATATCAACAACAATTCAGCATGATCTGTTGGCGTTTAGTTTCCATTAAGATGCATCCTCTAATAATAAGAAACAAGCTTCTCCTCATGTTTTTTCCTAACCTGACACAGCAGATGGCTGCCTTTCCCCAAACCTGGGTCAGCAGAAGATTTCTTCCTGTTAAAAGGGAGTTTTTCCTTCCCACCATCACAAAGTGCTTGCTCATAGCAGATAATTTGATTGTTGTGGGATAAGTCTTTACCTTATAGTATAAAGCCACTTGAGGCTAATGTTTTTGTGTGATTTGGTACTATATAAATTAAAAAACATAATTAAAATCTATAAATAGTATAGATATAAAAACTATCACCTCTTACCGTATTAGACTCGTCGTTCTCACATATATAGATGTCGTCAGCTCTGAGTTCAGGTTCATTGTCATTCACATCCTGAACATTAATGTTAACTTTTACAACTGACTCTAAACCTACAGAGGAAAGAAAACATCAGATTAATGACACGTCTATCACTGAAAATAGTCCAAATAAATGCGCAAAAGCTGCAAACAGAGATTCAAGAGGGCATTCAGTAGTGATAGTATAATTTAGTCTCATTCAGTATTTGCGGAGGAGATGCAAATGTGAAAACAACTGCACTTTTTGTTTCTGCAACACTTAAAATACTGAAGCCACATAGAAATGAAATACAAAAGTTCTTAAACTAAGGATTTAGTTGTCATTTACCTTGATGCGCCAATGTAACAGTGATTAACTATGCTGGAGATTAGTGTGCATATCTTTGTCACTGAAGGACTAGATTAAAGGTCAAGTAACTGAAAGGATTTCTATTTGTGAGCTGTTTGTTGGACAGCTATTTTCGTCACATTAAAACATCTTTTACATTTATTTTATATCACTGATGTTCTTTTTGAATATTCATCTTTTGATAAATATGTGAGTCTCTTTTTTTGTCTCTTGTACTAAGATTTTGAATCTATCTTTAGTACAGAACATGTACTGTATATCGAGGACCTTGTCAAGCTCAGAGGACCATTGTCTTCCTTAAACGCTGTGACAAGCCACTAAAATAGATCTCTGGATTTCATTCATTGCTGATCTAAAAATATAGAGTTTGGTTTGGAAGCTGGAAGTGAACAAAGAGGCAGTCTAATGTGATTTTCCTGCGTACTCTCTCCTTCTCATGTGGGTCGACCAGGTGTTATGGTGATGTGTTAAGTCTGTAAAAATCCCTGTTAATGTGTTACACTCCCATCCTTCAATAAATCTACAAGAGATGTTCAGCCAAGAGAACAAACTGTCTTTTTTGGCCTTTGTACTTTAACTCCCTCCCTGTATGCACATTGCTGTTGTTGTAAAACACGCGGTTTCAGTTTTTCATGTGAGGATGTATTGTTTAGAGGAAAGGGATTAATAAACCCCCGTACAGCTCTTATGAGAGTGTGTGACATACCACTTGGCTCCTCTTGCGCCTTAACTTGAAACATGTGTGTGGGCTTATCCTCTCTGTCCAGATTTCTCAGAGTGTACAGTTGACCTGTGAGTCGGTTGATACCGATAGGACAGTCCGGCTGCATGATGGAGAACCTAAACAGAGAGACCAAGATCACTCTAACAAACACTTTACAGGCTTAGTGACACTATTACTTATTTTGGGGAATGCGTGCAGCATACTGTATGGTCTTGTTGGCTCTGTCAGGATCTCTGGCTTTGATGAATCCTATGTTGTTCACGTGTATTTCTTCCTTCACGTTAAAGCTGTACATGTCCTCAGAGAAGATCGGTGGCTCATCTACATCTAACACGTTGATGTTGACCTGGCAATTTTAAATGATTGCCAACAGTTTAGACCAACATTGGAATTTTAATTTTTTCTATAATCCTTTACACAGCATCACACTGTGTCCTGCTAATCCGAATCTGTGAAAAGTATTTCTTGACAGTGAAACATTAAATACATTCCTCAGCATTGATTCTCTTTTTTTAGAGAATGAAAATCAAGTCGGCAACTGGCTTTGAAGATGGCTAAAGTGATCAATAAAATAAAGTAAATAATCAATTTGAACTGCGAATCACAAACATTCACTTGCTGACTCGTGAAAGTTACAGTTGCCCTGTTTGATATTTACCTGTGCACTGGTGATTGCAGCGTTTGTGTTGTCAGCGGGAGTTCGGACATTTTCTTTCATCCGGACAGTGAACGAATAGCTGTTTGTCTTCTCAAAGTCCAGAGCCTAGGGAGCAAAGATAGTGTGAGTGAGCAAGCAACATGTCAGTGCTAATTAGATTAGAAATAATAGCTGTGACTCTAAGCTTCAGTGCAGAGTCAATATCTTTATTAAATAAATATACACAACAGTGTTCGTAGTGGAAGGTTGCGCTCTTTTAAACATTAAATATTTGAGATTTTTGTTGTCGTTAATTTCCATTTTTTTTAAGGCATCTGAAATTAGATTATGCTGTTTGCTTAAAGCTGTCACTAACACAGAACTCAACTGTATGCTGTGTGAATCTGATGCATTTGGGTTCTGTTACAATTTCTTTCAGTCTTCCACGAAATTAATAGTAGTCCTTCAGCAATATGTTACTCTTTAAGCCTGTCAACTTTAAATCTTTTGACCTCATTTTGCTTGTAGGTCTTTGCTTGTAACTGGGGACACACTCCATTAGCACCTTAGTGGGTTTTTTTTGTTGTTGTTGTACACCTGCATCAGTCCACCAAGGACAACTCGCGATTTCAGGTGCAAAAAGGCTGTAAATATCACAAATCAGTCTATGCAACCTGTGTAGCTCACTTTCCTCAATTTTTAAAAGGTTCTATATTTTTGGGTGCAAAAACAACTTTTAGTTGAAAGTTTTATGGAAACATTTTTACATTGGCAAATATAAGAAAGCTTACTGCCATATTCACATTGGCACTATAATTTATTTCCTATGTATTAGAAATGCATAGATATTCTTATTTTTTCTGGCAGACTCTTTTATCAGTGAATGGGACACTACAGGTAGAGAGGAATATTCTGCTAACTGGATTATTCATGGTTACAAGGATAGTCAGTCCCAAGGTATCAAAGGCATTTGTAAACAGCTTAACAAGAATAAGACCTTAACCACAGTGTGGCCAACAGCTGGCTTATTCTGTATGTGTAAACACAGCCGTTGAGAAAGATGAGAAGGGCTCGAGAGCTGAGGGGAAGATTGAGGTACGATTTGATTCCAGGCCAGCATGGGTGCAAGCTATTACAGAGCTCATTTCATTAGAATACATTTCCAGCTCTCTGATGTCCTAAATACTTTATCTGAAGAGCACAACCCAGTGAAGTCAACCTGCTAGAAATCCCGCGAGCATAAATATCTTTAGAAACCAGAAGGAGGCCAGGTTTCAAGTCAGTCTTAAACACGTCACACCTTATACATCCTGCAGGAAAAAAAATCTGAAATTTGACATTGCACCTTTTAATGTTATATGTAATTAGTGGCCATGCGGTGGCAGATTATGCAGGAAGGCTTCAGAAACCACTTTGAAAATGTCAGTACATTAGTATTTTGAATTTGTGGAAATCCTGTCACCATGCTGTGGCTATGATCCTCGTTGGTAATGGTAGACTGCAAATCTATTTTTGTGTTAAAGCTGTTTGGGCATGAGGTCCCATCAATTTGGATGCTGTAAAAAGTGTGAGGATACAACACTTCCCAAAACACTCTGATTTACTTCTGTACATATATAAAAATAAAAGCGAGTTGCCCTTTATGTATTTTGGGATATGCATCCATTTCCTGCTGCTGCATGGAAAGACTAAGCTAGTTTACATAGCACATTAAAACTAAATTGATTACATAATATTTATGCGCAACATGTGTTTATGAGGAAAATGAACACACTAATACGATTTTTAAAAATCTATGTATTGCAAAATAAGATGATACTATGATACTATGGTCATCAGACTGATAAATCTGCTTTTACAAAAGTAATAATATTTCACTAATTTCACAGTTTTTTGTTTGTTTGAAATACAGAAAGTAAACCCACATAAAAATAATGTCTGATGATTATAATATAATTTACTACAATCCCTTGATTGGTAGCAATGGGTCAAGTGGCTAATTAAGTTTATAAGCCTGGTACTGATTAAAATTGATCATGTATAATAAAATGTTTTAAAGGCAATCACTCTGGAATGGTGCCACTCGTCGTGGTAGCATGAATGATGAAATTGCACCTTTATCATATTTTGACCAACAACCAAACAACTTTGGCAGAATAACATGTTTGAATCAAGTTAAATAGCACAGTCAAGGTTTGTTGCAAAATAATTCAAATTAATCCAATGAAATCATCATGTCTTTTAAAACCATAAAATAAAGTTGAGGTTGAGCAGATCAGAGCTGTTTACGTGCACAGGAAAAATAAATGCTGGGAACCATGTCTCTATTTTATCCCCAAACTGGAGACAGTAATTACAAGAGAGAAATCACTCTCTAAATGAATTATACAAAAATATGGGACAGCCATGGCAGTTCAGGAATGTTAAATTGAAATACAACAGAAAATTATACGTCAAATATGGCTGCCCCACATTCCTCTTATAAGCCAAACCAGGAGATGAACCAGCAGAACTGTTGCACAGGTTCAGCTGTGTGTGTAGTGACAAACATAGCTATATGCATTAATTGTAGTAAAAATGCTGATAAACGTACTTGTAATTCCATCAGTTAGACATATCCATAATATATACTATATAATACTAGCATGGATTTTATTAACATAAGATTATACACGATTGATGGGGGAAAAAAAACAAAACTTATTTTGTTATGGTTATGTTATGGCTCTCTTTCTACCATTTACACATAAGTCTCTTACCTCTTTGAGCACAAGGTTTCCATCCTTGTTATGGTTGGGTTCAATATTGAATATGTTGCTATTAAGATTTTGAATGGTAAATATGGGCTCCTTGTTCTGAATCTCATCTTTATCCACCAATTCCAGAATCCCAATCGTCTCATCCACCTTGTGGTTTTCTGGAACGTTCAGATCATATTTTGCTGTGGATGGAAAACACACACTAATTAAGACTGAATATTTCTGTTGATTCTGTACAATTTGATAATGTAATGCTTCTAATGGTTCTAGAACCTGACTGATGATAATCTCTTCTTTTTAAGCATCTCTTTATCATTACTGTAAATGCTCATAAATCTGTTCCTTACTTCTGGTAAAAGAAGCAATGTTGTCATTGATGTCAGTTATCTTAATAGTAACCGAGGTGGTGGCTGTGCTGCCAGAGGCCAATCCTCTCATGTCCTGAGCTTTAACCACCACCAAATACTCCTCCCTGGTTTCCCGGTCCAAAGTGTTTATCTTGCAGCTGATCACACCTGCAGAGGGACAGAGAAAGAGCGAGACATTCGGAGAGGGTGTTATCTTTCAGGTCAATTCTGACTCATATTACAGTAAAAATAGCTTGAAACCCTAAAGTGATCCTAAATTAATTTGCCAGGATGAAAAAAAAGGCCGCTAAAGCATGGCAATCATGGTGGGTACCGCTGGAGTCAGCCTACCTGTGATACTGTCGATTTCAAAGGCTGAAATGTCTCCATGGGTCAAAGAGTACCTGAGTTCTGCATTAGCAGTGGTGGGGTCATCTGCATCAGTAGCTTTCACCTCAACCACTGTTTTTCCTGGAAGAAGGAAATAATATACATGTATGATAGAAATCATCATAGTAAATAGCTGATCATATTAAAGTGTATGTGTTTTGCAGATGTGAAATGGTTAATGCTTCATGACTAAGTGCCAACACTGTAATTAAAGTCACCGAGTTGTGTTTTTCACAGCGAGATGTACTAATGATTGTGACAGGTGTGAGCATAATGTTTCGTTTTTCTTAGGATTTTCACACTTCAGTCTATTTTGAATCTGTCTCGTTACCCCTGTTTAGCAGATGCCACATGCATACTTAAAATAAATAATGTTTAGCAACTCTGAAAATTGTGTTTCTGTACCTTTTCTTTCTGAGTTTGGGTTCCTTCCTTAATATTAACCACTACTTGAGAGTGTGATGCCTCATTATACTTCAGCTGGAAGTCTACATTGTAGATTATAACCGAAAACCCCTATTAACTCTACAACACGACCTTCCTTGCCATTCAGCCGTTGTAGGCTGCGTTAACCTCATGTGTGGTTACAATTCTCAGGAGATGCATGTGGAAGGCTACAATCTAGGGTTGTAATAGGTTACATCGTAGGTTTCCACTGCACAGTTAAGGCACGAGGCAGTACAGATAAACGTAAATGCATGAACATCTTTTTTAACCTGAAATAAGCTGCTGGCAATTCCTTCTACAAAAAAAAAAAAAAAAAATCCTTGATAATACTTACCTATTCTAGACCTCTCCTCAATGGATCCATTGTATGATTGAGTGAAAACAGGGGTGTTGTCATTGATATCTGTCACCTGGACAACAAATTCTCCAGGGTTTTCTATTGGGTTGCCATATGCATCTGACATCATAGCAGTCAAATGGTAAGCATTCTTCTTTTCTCTGTCCAGAGATTTGGTGACAAACAGGTCTCCTTTATGATCCACGATGAAGATGTCGTTTGCTCCTTCACCATCTATTTTAAAATGCCCACCTGTCATACTCTTGTCTGACTTGAGCTGAGAAAGAAAGAAAATAGACCTTTTAATAAATTACTACAAATAGACTATTCTGAAAATAAAATATTCAGATATGCATGAAAGAGATTCTCTGCAACAAATAATGCCCCAGATTCACTTTGCATGTTATAGCTTCAACCTGAGGGGGCGTGGCAAAATACCAAAATGCTTTCTCATAGACAGCCATGGCAAGGAGAATTCTGTTTTTGACTCTGAGGTGAAAATACAAATATTAATATACCCGTCCTATCTTGAGCGGAGTTACAACAGGTTTCTCCTCTTCTACATAGAGAGAGTTCCAGATCCAGCTTCTTTTTTGCCTGAACAGCACAGGATGGGATTCCTTCTTGACAATGTCAGCTGGGCCGAGATTCTCTCTTTCTACCCCAGGAAGTCCAGAGTCTTGAGCAATGATGACAGTCAAGGCCATAGTGGCCATAAGTCCTGTGGTCCACAGCTGGAGCCAAGCCATCATCTGGACAGAAGAGGATAGGATCAAGAAGAGAGAGGAATGAGAGGAAGAGAGGGGTAAAAGAATAAAGATGAAAGAAGGAAGAGGCAAGACAGGAGTGAAGGATGCAGAAAGGAACATTGGGGGAGTAGAGAGGAGAGAGGGACCAGAAAGGAACAGAGAGAGGATCACATTAAAACCACTTATCAGCTACGGACAGACCCCTTCACTGTGCACGGGTGAGACTTAGAGTGAAGGCCAAGGACTCTCTGTCCTCCCCTTACAGTCAGCTGCTGAGCTCGAGGTCTAGCTATCATTTAGGACCAGGGCTCTTAAAGCTTTTCATCCTGGGACTCCAATGAAACATTTAGCCCCTCATCATGGGACCTGGAATGAAAGCACATCACCACTGTGGTCATATGGGGATCTATTAAACATAGGCTTGTGACCTATTTTAGGTCTTGACCCACTGGTGTAGTGCGAGAGAGCGGAACAGACAGAGAAAGAGAGACTGACAGAGACGAAGAGGGGAGACGACGCTACAACCACTTACGATGTCTGTCTTAATCAGCCATTAGAAAGGCCACTTTCCATAAAGGGACTTTTTGACATTTGGATTTCTGGATTTTCTTTCTGGATTTTCTTTGTTCTTTTTCAATGTAAGGTAGCTCGGGTTTTGTATTCCAAGTTGAATAATTCCGGCAACTCATCCAACAGTTGTAGAGACATAATACTCAAACCAAAAAGTTAGCCAACATCATTATTATTCATCAAAAATGTTTGTACAAAGCAACTATAAGTAATATTAGAGATGGAAAGATACCACTTTTTTATGTCCGATACCAATACCGATATCATAAATCTGGATATCGGCCAATACCGATATGAATCTGATATAGTGTATTTTTTAATCAATAAAACGTTTTTTTTTTATATCTTGCTGCATTTCGTATAAGTTCATACTCAAGTTTAAAAAAACAAACACTAAAGCTATTCTGTTATACTTGTATGCAAAAATACACTGCACCCAAAATATTTCATAGTTCAGCAATACTGATCAATCTAATAAACTTAAATCCTCGATCCTCCCTATTCTGGTATTTTAAAGAGTACTTAGCGGAAATATTAAGCAACCTAACTAATAGGGTTGCAAACTCCCAGCAAAAAAAAATCAAAAATAGGGAACCACC